GCTTCGTGAGCATCTGACAGTTGGCGGCGCTGGGTGAATATCTGGCATCATCAAGTTGCATCTCAGTTGAATTTTGCGACAGGCCCAGCACTTTAGAGCACGAAAGCAGATTTCATTTCAGGCGCTATACTTTGATGCCTTGCCTGCACAGATTTCCGGGCAGGCTCAATACTGTTGAGCCGCGCGTCGAATTTCATGGCCGGCACAATTGTTCAAAACAGTGCGTTGAATGTTGTGACAAGCGCAGAAAATAAAGGTATTCAGCGCAGGGGCAAACGTGGGTTTGGCTTAGTGCTGGTTGAGGGCTACTTAAACTTGGGGGTAGGTTCCTCGTCGCTTCAGGGTGGCCAAAGCTTAAGGTGATTTGATGGTTGGATTTGAGCTGGCTGCAACCAAGATCTGCTTGTGGTGCTGCGGATGCGCGCGGAGTTCTCCTTCCTTCCTTCCTTCCTTCCTTCCTTCCTTCCTTCCTTGCTTCCTGCCTTTCTTTTTCTGATGCCCATCCCGTGCTGCGGACGGTGCCGATGCTCGTGCACCTGTAAGTTTGCAATGCTCAGCTGAGTGGCAAATGGGCAAAGAACCCATGCCCCGGGCTTGAGGTACACGCCTGCCAGCTTCGGGGTGTTACATCCTGCGCAAACGTGCTGCGCGTGGCAAGTGTTCTTTGCAGTGGAGAGGCAAAGCCTGATCAGCTGTGCAGACGCATGGACTCAACAGCTACATGAAACAAAAGCAAGGCCAAAACTTAATCTCAGTAGCCCGCATCTAGCCAACTCTGGATCCATTAAACTGATGTCAACATGATCAAGAAGAGAGGCTGAACAGGCAAATTTCACCAGGTGTTTCTGTTCTACTATGATCTGTTTGCAGGGTCCGAAAGATAGCTTCGCCTTTGTTGAGCTATTTAGTTTGCGCTTTTCCTGCGCCACGTCTTTTCGACGAGATTGCAAAGGTCACTTGGGCATTGCTATAGTGTGTTTCTGCTTCACTGACAGGTGCTAGCCTCGGGGCATTGCGTGTGTTTTGCGAAAGATGTCATGGCAAGCTTCGATCAAGAAGTGTGCCTTTGGACAAAATGAATTGCGGGGTGCGCTTGAATCCACATTCCTGCAGCAAATCTTGCCTCGCTCAACCCCCGGCAGACAGCAGGGCAGGGCTTGGGGAAGGTGTACTCCTGCAAAGCATGTGCAGCATGCTTGATCTTTGTGGCAGCCACTGTGTGCCTACTGTGCGCATGCTCCCTTCCTCGAGATAATAGCCAATACGAAGTTTCCTGCAACGCAAGCATTTCAGCCATGACAAGCGTGGTCAACATTGCCAAACTCTCACTTTCACCCCGAGGCATTTGATGTTGAACACACAAAATAGATCCGACATTCGCTTGAGCAGCTTCTCGTGCCTTGAAGAAGAGAACCTCAGTAGCTTTATACGCCATGGGGCCATCGGGCTACCTCACCCAAGCAATTCAATCCCAGGCTTTCAGGACAACAGGGCAACTAGCTTCAATAGAAAGTGAAACAAAGTACGTGCGCGGTGGGAAAACAACTCCTCAAGGCACCCTGTCGCTCCACAAGTTCACTTTTCGCAGCTCGGCCGGAAAGTGTCCATTCTTACGTGCGAAAATACCGTGCGAGGCGCGCTTTTGCTTCCGCCGCCAACTGTTCAGTACAACTTTGCAGTAGTCAAAATGCAGTTTGCCCAGCTCAAAGTGGATACATGGCGCCATGACGTCAGGCTACGTACCACACCAACCGGCCAAGCCGATGGGCGGAAGTTTCGAAAGAAGAACAAAGAAAAATACTTCGCTTCGAGCAATCCCCACCCTCCACACTCACGAGTTTACAGCCGTGAGTACGGTTGTGTAAACTCAGGCATGGTTTTCGAGCGGCTTGGGGCCTATGACTGCTCAACACGCTTTGCATTGAGAGCCGTATCCACCTGTCTATATGTCAAACTCCACTTGTCTGCGAGCCGATCTCGAGAACTCAAACATCGGTTCCGTTAACAAAAGCCAAGCCCCTTCCAAAACGAAACCCGGCAGGGGATTAAACGAAGTTGCTTATTCACAACCCAAAGTAACACAAAAGCCTCAGGGCACACTCAAAACACGAAGGCACCAATAAGAAATGTAAACCCAACTGTGCGTCGGGCGGGACATTAAGCAAAACCAGACTGGCGAGCTGCTCTGGCGGGGTCCTGGCGAGATCCACTGGCGAACGCTGGCGAGCCCCTCCGTCTCTATACTGGCCGCATACTCGGCAGGATCCACCGGCAAGGGATACTCAGCGGGATACTCGGCGGGATCCACTGACAAGCTACTCTGGAATACTCAGCGGGATACTCGGCGGGATCCACTGGCGGGCTGCTCTGGTGGGATACTCGGCGGGATCCACTCTGGTGAAATAGCTGCTCGCCCCGCCAGCCTCGCCGCCGCGGGGCCAAAGCTGCGGTGAAAGCGTTTCCGAGCCCCGCGAACTTCCGAGAATACGCGTGCATTTGCGTTTTTGTGCAAACTTTGTTGCGTCCGGATAGACCCAAAGAACGGCGGGTGCAGAACGATCAACCCGCATCTTTGGCTGCAAAGTGATTCTGAGCTTACATTCAAACTCAGCCCGTCGGGCGAACTCGGGTCTTGGCTCAGTCCAAGTGATTGTTCCCCTTCCAAGTACGATTCAGTCGCTGAGTACGTTGCGCCGGTTGAGTGCGATGCTTGGGGGGAGGGCGACGGACGACGCTCGGGTTGAGAACGACGCTAGGCCCAGTACTTGGCCAGAAGGCGTGCGGCAAACTGGCGGCAACTGCGCGCCCCGCGCGGGGTGACCCTGGGGCGCACCAGCTCATCCAGGGTGAGTGCTGGAGGCGGCGACGCGGGAAGTTCCATTGCTCCTTGATTGATCTTTCCCGGCTGCGATCCTAGGGTGCATTTTTGTTGGTTCCTCAGCCCCTGCAGTACGATTCCTGACCTGAGTATGAATGTGAGCAGAGAATGGTGATTCCACTTCACGAATCACATAACATCACCTCGCATACATAGATATCTGCCAAGGCGCTCAGATTGATTGAAGGGCAGCGGTGGCAATCGTGGCAGTCCGTTTGTCAGCCCTTGTGTCAGCAGCAATGAGTGCACCATCGCCAAATCCTGCTTTCAACAGCTCTCGCGTCTATTTTGCTTCAGTCTCTACAAGTACCAAGGGTCCTTTGCAGATCTGGACATAATACCAGTTGTTGCCGGAATGAAATACTCGCCAGGCCGAGTCAACATCATCTCAGTCGCCAAAATACACACGCGTGCAAAGCTCTTTGCATGGCATGCTCACCGGTCCACAACAGCTTCACAGCGCCAAATGCAATCCAGTCTCCGATATTCGGCCAACAGTGGGCCGAAGAGCGCAAATTCCGCAGGACGCCGCTGGGACGCGAACGGAGCCGCCGACATCACTTCCTTTACTGGACAAAAAAACTGCAAACTCTCCGAGTATCGCAACATTCGAGACAGTCAGTTCTTATGGCTTTCTGAGACACCAAGGCCAAAAGGTGAGGCGCCTCCACCGATCCTCATATTATGCCATCTGCTAAATACCATGAAGGATTGGTGTGATCGTGACAGTACGGCTGCTGCGCCAGAGTCTATCCAGTCGAGTCTTCACTACATATTGTTCCGGTCAATCATTGAGTTCCTGTCTCCCAAGCGCTCAATTACTTGCCTGGTCTCAACGCGCCCTCTCCAGCGCTGCTTCCGCCAGAGCTGCGCTTTGTATCCCATGGGTTCAACGTGTCGCCATGTGCAGGACTTCCACCTCCAATCCTTGCAGATCTTTGCGGCCCAGAATTACTCAGCTTTTGCATACACATGGCAAAAATGGCCACATGTTTGGTCCGAGCAGCGTAATCCCAAGCTGAGACATGGTAGATTTTGCAAAAGGGATGGCGCCGAGAGACTGGGCGAGAGCACACAAAGCAACACATTCCAAGCTGTATAAGCCGCATGTCTTACCCAATTTCAGGCTATTGGCTCTAAATGCCGTGACCAGGTACTCGTCACGCCGACTCCTTTTTCCAGACCTGAGTCTCTGCATGAAACGCTGTGTTTGACCTGGGAACGACCGGTACCTCTTCAAGGTCTGCAAGCCCATGGTGATCGGGGTTCCGGCTACCATGATATGGTCCTGCGGCAACTCCATACAGGAATCAGTAGTATTTCCAAGCTTCATGGACAGAAGCATGGCAAGATAATCAGTTCATCAAGACATACTGTGTCCTTCACTGTGAACGGAACGCCATGCAAGGGGCCCAAAACTTCTCCAGTTTGGCGAAGGTGAGCATCAGCCTCGCAAAACATCACTGGGTGCTTCTGATCTCAACAGCTTACACTCAGGGGTACTGAAAGCCACTGAGAAACTGGAATGTTGCCAATTTCTCTTGAGACTGACTCGGCAAGAATGACAGAATGACCGGGAGAGCCTCCATTGCCCTCTTTTCTGCATCTGGGATCCAAAAGGCCACCGCGTTGCAGGCATGGTCAATAACTTCCTCAGCTTCTCAACCAAATCCAAGACTCAAAGCTAGCAGTGACACATAAGATCAAAAAGTTGCTGTCTAGAAGCTGCTCGAGCTTTGTACGCGTGGAGCACCTCCACAGCAGTAAGCCTTCCTTTGGCCAGCGCAAATGCCAGGTCTTCCAAACTGAGATCCAGGATGCACGCCATCCTTGTTCATTGACTCACGCAACCATTTCAAATACTGGGCACTGTGCGAAGAAATCCCAAACTCGGGTCAATCTTTGCTCTGCAAGCTTCCGGGACTGCAGCGGGAAGAGCAGGTCGGCTTGAGCAAAGTGCCAGTCGCCAGATAAAAGAGGGCATCATGTCGTGCAAATCACGCGCAGTATGTGGTTGTCTGGAAATGGGGGAACGCCAAACATGGTGGGTTTCCAATGATGTCCCTTCTTGAAAAACGGTTTCTGGGAGATCAGCCCACGCGTCCGCATCTCAGGCTCACACTTGCTTGTCCCTTCTGAGCTGTTCCTCCTTAGCCAAATCTTGAGAGTCCGGGCAGGCGCTCGACTCACCGACTCACCCGTCCGACATCGTGCACCCAAGGCAAGTACCAAAGGCGGCGCATCGCCTGCTTCGCCTTCGGGCACAGCTTCTGGTGCATCGGGCGCAGCTCCAGCGACTGGTTCAGGTGACGCTTCTGGGCCAGAGATTGCCTGATGGATTCCAGAACTTTGAGCGTGTCGCAAAACTGGCTGCATTCTACGACACGTACCCATCAACACCAAATAGTAGGAATCGAATGCAGGATAGTTGCACAAACGAGGAATGAGAGTCTCAGATTCAGAAGTTTGTGTTGGAGGAGTGCTTCTTTTCTGAAGCAGGGAAGTAGAAAAGGACACGCCCTGTCTATTCACCAAGGGTGTAGGTGACTCACAATGCACATCACCCACACACACACACACACACACACACGTGCGCGCACGCACGCACACGAACACTCGCGCGCGCGCGCGCGCACGCGCACACGCGCACGCGCACACGCGCACATGCGCACATGCGCACGCGCACATGCGCACGCGCACAGGCGCACGCGCGCAAGCGCACGCACACGCGCACGCACAGCACACGCGCACGCACAGCACACGCGCACACGCGCACACGCGAACACGCGAACACGCACATGCGAACTGTCTGTCTGTGTGTGTGTGTGTGTTTGTGTTTTTGTTTTTGCTTTTGCTTGTGTTTTTGTTTGTGATTGTGTTTTTGTTTGTGTTTGTTTGTGTGTGTGTGTGCGCGTACGCGTGTACGTGCGCATGTGCGCGTGTGCGCGCGTGTGCGTCAGACACACACACACACACACACAGACACAGACACAGACACAGACACAGACACAGACACAGACACAGACAAAGACACACGTGCACACACACACACACACCCACGCACGCACGCACGCACGCACGGACGCACGCACGCACGCACGCACGCTGGGAAGCCAGTCACCTAGCTCGGCAGGTAACCAGCAAGTCAGCTAGTGAGCTGGCTGGTAGGCTATTTTGCTTTGCTGACTATCAATGAGTTTATTGCTGCGCGTTCGCTAGCAAGTCAGCTAGCTCATGAGGGAACTGATGAGTCATTTGATTCGCTGATCAGTTGGCTACTGTTTCACTGGCCTCCCAGCTAGCTAAGTAGTTTTGAGGTAGTTCGTTGGCGAGCTATCTTCTTGGAGCACGGTGTGTATATGAATGCGTGTGTGCGCGCGCATCTCTTGCTTGAGCTTTCCTCTCCACGCATTTTGTTCAGGTGCTTCTCCTTTTAGTAAAAGGCAGTTTCACGTGAACCTCCATGGTATTGGAGCTGCTTGAGCGATGTTTTCTGTGAGGCATTGATTGGCATAGTCTTATGATAATTTGGGAATAGGAACAGGAAGAACGGCCTCGAAGCATTCGCAGCGGTCTCGGACAGGACGCGCAAGCCGCTTTGAAAGCATGAAATTGTGAATCCTCTGCTGGGTCGCCCCGAAAACATCTACAATGGACTTGGGATAAGCCGGATCTTACGCTCTTCTTCCTTCGTTGCAGTCGGAGCATCTTGTCATTCTGCCGTTTGAGTTTTATAGCAGCGTTCAAATCGCCAGTTCTCATTGGTTTCTGTTGCAATTCACCAAGCATACCAGCTACTTGCTCAGATGCTACCTTAGAGCTTTGCCCAAGAAGAGCTGGGCTCAAACAAGCGCCTGTCCTGGCTATCGGTCTCCATCAAATGGAACAAATAGTACTTCGGGAAACGTGAAGGGGGTCCCTCAAGTCCCCCAAACACAATGAAGAGTTCAACAGAAACGTCGCAAGCAAAGCAGGTACTTTATGGTGATCAGCTCTGATATCCGCGTTCGCTGCGGCCACTTTGCCTGGACCATCGCGCACAAGCAAATGGATGGTCCCCTTGCACTCCACTGTGGCAGCCAGCCACATTTCCACACATACATATATATATATATATGCATGCGTGCACGCACGCGTCAGGGGAACATGCAGACGTGCTGGCGGAAATGTGACACAACAGCACGAAAAAGGACGCACAACTCTCCAAAGCTTTGGGCCAACTCCTGACAAGTCAAGGACGGAAGAGTTTTCAAGCGCCTCTGTGTCCGCATCTGTGTCATGCATGGGCGAGAATGACGTCCATTGCAAGGTGAGTTAAGTCCGATCCCCTCACCCAATGGACAAATTCGCTTTGCAAACGGCTCCGCAAATGCACTGCAGCCTAGCAGATTTATTTGAATCTACTGCATTCTTGCATGAACGCCATCTCTCCTCAATTGTGCATTTGCTTGCCTGCATGTCAATACTTGGGCAGCATTCTTCCCGTATGCTTGCTCTGCTTAGCTTCTACTGTTCCCAAGCACGACTCAAATCAAGCATGAATTGTACTCCTGCTACGGAGTCTGCGTGAGAGCCGAAATACGGAGGCAGCATCCACGTCTACACTGACACCACATGCCACTTGCAGCAACATGTTTTCCTGGCGTCTGACCACCTGGTCCTTGCACCACATAGCGACCAGACTCCATGTTGAAGCAACGCACCAGAACCAGCTGGCCATTCAACGATGCCTGGATGCACCACAATGGTCAATGGACATTGCTTCCAGAATTCTATTTCATGACGGCTAAGAGTGCGCCTATCCACTCTAGATAGCGCCTTGACTTTAATCGTCTGAGATCTGTTATCTATCCCAGCAAGTATAGACTGGTATATGCTACGTGCTGGGATTACTTTGGGCTGAAGTGAGGCGAGCACGGCTGATGCTGAAGTAAGTCCATGCACCACCACCTGGCCAAATACTACTGACCAAAGAAATTTGTCAATCACAAATATGTTGTGAATCCAAGCGGGCAGTTTCGTGCAGCCATGCATGCAATGCATGCCTCTGCTCCTTGGCTGAAACCTTTGGGCCCAGCTTCAGCACCGCATGCCTAGCGTTGATCCCAACTTGACAAACACGCAACGAGCTCAATGAGTTCAATGAGTTCAATGAGTTCAATGAACAAAACAAATGATCCAAAGTGATCCAAAAGTGATCCAAAGTGATCCAAAAGTGCGGCTTGAAGGATCTCAGGCAGTCTCCGGCGAGTCTGGCTCCCCCTGGTGGGGCTCCTTGGCGCGCAGGGCCGAAAATGCCAATGCTGTGGCAGTGAAGCTGATTCAAGATAGGTCGACAAATCTCTGATGTGCTTCACTCCTGACTCTCAGAAGGCATTTGCAGGTGTTCTGGTTTCACCTGGAGACCAATGATGCTCATCCACTCTTATTGCCTTGGCACCATTGTCTGGGCATGCACACCTTTTCCTGAAAGAGTTCATGTCCAGCTCTCGCTTTCAGAAAACTGTTGAAACCATCACCATGTAAGTGGACCGGTGCTTTTTCACTAATCGCCACCCCTATTGTCACTTCGACACATGTCATGTTGCTATGTTGCTGGCTCAGCCTTCTTGTAGATATTTGACTCGGTCATGCGTACCACGTACCTAGCTAAAGGCAAGGGCCTTTGGCATCAGCACGCCAGAAAGTCTACATGATTGCCTCGCAATCAATAATATGCCAACTTACCTGTCTTCTGAAGAATCAAAGCCTTCAACAACTGCTTCTTGGCCGTTGAGTTCTGCCTTGGCTGCAACACAAGGCGACAACACAAATGATCGATTTGAGCCGTCACGTTACACAGTCTTCCTTTCACTACACCGAATCGGTGTCAATTGCCAGCTGCAGACATGTTGCTGAATGTACCAGGCCCTGAAGAGCGACTGTGCTGCCTGCCAATGCTCTGATCCAGCCAATCTAGCTCTCAGAACCTTCATCTGAATGCTTGTTTATGCAAGTGCAAGCACGACCAAACGGACTGTATGGCAAGTGCAAATGCCCTGCCGACTTGCCACTGCGGATCCGCCAAGCCTCGGTCGAACGAACAGTGGCAGTCGTGGTGCAACTCAACTCAGGGCCTTAGTTGCTGACGACGATGCCGCAAGTGGCTTCCATGAGCGGCAGTGAGCAACCAGCCTCAAAGCAATCGTCCGTGGCATATGATCCTATGTTGTGAATTCTGGCATCCTGGTGTTGAGCTGGAGTTCAAGGTGCTGCTGATCCTATGTCTGTGCTGCAAGCTCCTGAATGCTCAGGATGAGACCAAACCAGAGTGGTACAGGAGCAACCAACCTTGCAAGGATGTCCCTAACCAAACACCTATGTGCAGGCATCTCGTGTTGGCTCTGTAACGTTTCGTGCACCGCAACTTGGATTCTTTGTGTACTAGTTTCATTATTTACTTCCTGCCTCATTGATGTGGAAAGGAAAGGTGCAGAAGCCTCCCGATTGACATAGTGAGCAACACTGTCAAAACCGTCTCTGAGCACACTCACGTGCACACCCACACACACACACATATGCACGAAAACACGTACGCTACTAGTGTCCAGGACTGAGTTCTCGAACATTGACGGGAACCCTCTCTCAAGCCACTCCGCTTCACCAAGGTGCAAGCCTTTAAGCAGGCCGCGGGCTGCTAGCACGTCTCCTCTAGCGGAGCTGGGCAGGCGCAGAACATGATTCAGCGAGAGGCAAAGGAACGAACCATCTTTTGCTGCTTTGAAAACCAGGAACGACGAAATGCCATCGTCCCAATACCGCAGTCCTTGACGCGGAACCTGACATGGTCAAGCCCCCCTGTTTGAGCCAATGTCATGCAATTCAAATTGCTTGAGGCAACTGATGCAACTGCCACCAGCCAAGCCAAGGTCCTGTCCAGCCAAGTTCAGAAAGCAGTGGCAGTTGTGCTTTTGCAACCAATTGAACAAAGTGCTACGTCTGCACAGCGCACTTGCTGGCTGCAAGTGACTTTGCAAATCGGTTGGCTTTGCATTCAATGCCCGCCAACCTCAAAAGCTGTCAGTGCAGAATGACTTGGGACTTGGCTTTGTGCATTTCAGGGTGGGAAAAGCCCAGAGGCGCTTTGGCACATTGCCTGTCCCTTACATGACAGTCAGCTTGATGACAATCAATGTGTCATCGGCTGGAGAACAATGCAATGCTCACTTGACCTTTGTGCTGTACTTTGCTTGCCATTCGGTCAGAGCCTGAAGACAAGTGAAGGCAAAAGTAAAACATGCGTTGCTTGGCTGCAAAGCAATGCAATTCCGGCAAAGTTGTTCATGAGAGAGCGACACGCCGCATGCTTCTGTTCAACTTGACCACACGCCGCCTGAGGAAAATCCAAATCCCATGCAGCCTTCCAACTTCTCAAGACTGTTTTTGGTAGGTGTCGCACTTCTGCTTGATTGCTGCAAAAGCATCCTGACGACATGATTGTACGTGAAGCAGGGAGGCATCTTCATTTGTGTGCCCTCGGACCTGCCTCCCAAGTGGGATATCGACCTGCTCGCACCAAGCCTTAAGAACATCAAGTGACTATCTGATGATGGCAATGAGATCTTGAAGCCTGCAAAAGAGCTGTCAGGTCATGCACTTGGGTGCGAGCATGCGCACAGCGTTGTGGTTGACCGCCCGCGTCCATGCGCGCAATGCACCAAGACCTCAGCTTGGCTCCTGTGACCTGTCAAGCGTGTCAAATAATACAGTCAAAATGATTGGCCGCAGGTCGGCGTTGCATGAAAAGGAAAGACTGAGGCTCTTTGCGTCCCACAGAATAACAAAAGTGGACTGGCCAACAGAATCCATATCTGCGCTTACAACTTGAGGGCCTGGGCTTTGTCTGCCTTTGCATCACTGAGATTTGGGTGTCTGAAATTGGTGATGCTGAGGCTATGTCTGCAAAGCTAGGGACCTAGTCTTCTGGAAGGAGACACTGCGCTGTTTCTTGGAGGACGGTGCTCGTCAATGCACAACTCTGGCAGCCCATCACCAGTACATGTTCATGGTTCTGGGGATTCTGCAAGAGTCGTTCTTCAGTTCAAGGTACTCGCTTTGAGAGCGCCAGCAACGATTTCTGTGGAGCTGAACCGTGCAACTGCACGTCGTTGGCTTTGCATTGCTGGAGTTGTATGCCTCTGGCCGGATATTCTACAACACAGAACAGCATTGGGCTTGTCTTGGAGAAGTGAAGGCCTATGCTCAGTGCGGCAGTAACACGGAGTTAGCCGTGTGTTTCTGGGCATGAACGTATTTAGCTATCGGTAATGCAGCAATCACAATTTGCCTGGCAAGGTCCAGGAATACAGAATGCCTGAGGTGGTCTAGGGAAACTGCTATTCAACAGTGGTTTCGCATTTTCGTGAATGGCTGCCAACAAATCCTGGAGGTCGTGTCATCGTTTCATTCCGGACAAGGACATCATTGTAAGGACGCTTGGGACAATCGCACATTATTATTGGACACTTCTTTGCCCTTGCCTAGTAAGAATGAGCCGGAGCACTGTTTATCTGCTTGTTTCTGAGGCCAAGGCATCACCCCTCTCATGCGCAGCGATGCTAAATTGCGCAGCCTCTTCCAGCTGCTCTGGTGATGGGGGCACCTGGGACGATGCTGCACGGGCTGGGCCAACTGGACGGCACACAAGTTTGGTACCTTGCCTAGATCCGAGCAGTCAGCCAACTGGGCCGGCTCCCTTTCTAAGCTGGCCACGCCATCCCAGCACTCGACAAGCAAATACTTTTCCTGCAGCCGTCCAGCTTCTAGGTTGGAGGCAAATTTTCATATTTGAAACTGCGCTGGTGGCTTGGACTTTCACTTCTTTTGAGAACACCGACTACTTCTCGATTCTTTGCGTCTTCTTCTCTGTTTCTGACTTGCTTCCCCGTTCTGGATCTCAGCCTTGTGACTGGTTCAGCTGACTGTGTCGAGGGGCAACTGTCCACTTACCCAAGAGTGTTACTTTAACCAAGGCTTCAATTTATCCACTTTCAACTTGATTTACACAATTTAGAAAAATCCTTTGGATCCATTTGTCAGCTCTGCCTGCCTGAGTGCTTGTCTCTGGAAATTCACAGGTCAAGTCAATGGTGCCAGCCTGGGTATGGCTACTGATTGAAACCGCGTCAAACAATGCAGAGCTTTTGCAACTGAATGCATGGAATCCGAGGTGGAGGCCCATCGCTTACCCAACCTGAGGCCGCAGCTGGGATCCATCTTCAACTGAATGTGACGTCTAAATAGCTACGCAAGGGCCCTGCAAATTCAATGCCTTGAGAGCCCTCACAACTGGCACAGCCATTCAGTTTTAGATGTCCCATGCTCACTTGGGCACTGCCACTCATGTCTGTCAAAAAAGGCGGAAGATGCTTGGCCCACCGATGTGCTGATGTTACACAGGCGCAAAATAAACGTACGATTGTACTCTGAGAACACGTTGTAAAATCCTGCTGCTGCTGCCGCTGCTGCTGCTGCCGCTGATACTGCTTCCCGCTGCTGCTGCCCAAACGTTGATTGCCTGTGTGTGTGTGTATGTGCCAGCGTGTGGCCTTTCATAACACCCTTGATGAACTATGACTCACATACACAGCTCGACGTGTGGATAATTTCACATAGCAGCTTAGAAATTCGGCACGATGCCTTGCTCGATAGCAGACAGTCATTGAACTAGTTGGCCTTTCCAAGCCGACCAATCCTCAATGCAAATAGCCTACGAGAAAGCAGGAGCAAGGAGCAAGGAGGGGCAAGGCCCACGTTGCAGTGCGAAGGCTCGGACTCGTGGCTGTAGCGGCCGCCAACCCACCAGCCAGGCCTCCAGTATGGCGAATCTTGAAATCTCAAGCAAGCCGAAAAATGGAATGGAGTCTCCAAATAGAGTCTCCAAATGGAGTCTCCAAATGGAGTCTCTAAATGGAATCTCTATGGAGTGTCTCTAAATCAAAAATCCTGGAGTCTCTAAATGGCATGCACAACGAGCCGATACCTCCCAAAGCTGCATGCCTGATGAAAAGTAAGATTGCCACTCTACCTCGTCTGCAGGCGCCACACCACTTCTGCGGTCACGCTCTCGTTGAATCTGCCCACAAAGCAGCTGAAGGCAAAGAAGCCAGGACCAAACGCCACAATGGCACATTCATCGCAGGGTGTTTCATGTGATGAAAGTGCTCTCTTGTATCATGATTAGATGCGAGTGCCAAGTGAATTGTCTTTCGCAAGCCGTACCAGCGGCTCCGCCTATATTTCAAATCTTAGGCCTGGACGTTGCGGAAAGTTTCCCACTCGATTCAGACTTTGCACAACAACCTAAATTGGATAGGAAGCTGATATAATCTGATGGTTTCCTCAAATGCTTGAAGTCCGTCACTTCAAGAATGTCTCAAGGCCTTCAACATGCATGTCGCTGAACAAGGGCGCGTTCAACCCTGCTTTGCCAGACTTACCAGCCCATGGTTGAGGTGTATTTTGAACCATGATCGTGGTCTGATAAGTATTTGAATAGGAGAGGCTGGGGTCATGGCGATCTCACTGTATCGCATGGTCAATGGGCACGCACTCACAAAGAGTGAGCTTGGAAACGTCTGGTTGGTCTGGTTGGTCAACCTTTGAATGTTCCAGGCCTTGGTGTAGAAATATGTAGGGCCATGGAAGCCGAAGAACAAGACGTAGGACCTGGTCACGCACTCAACGATTCTGAGGTCCGTGCATCGTACCCAAAACTGCAAGCGGGTGTTTGGTACTGCGTCGCTTCATCTTGCAAAGCGAAGTAGTGCTCAGAGCAGGACCATATGGGGATAGAGCCAGACACCTTTTGTCAGAACAAACGAATGCCAAGCAAAACCTCGCTAGTAGGCTGCTGGCAGGATCTTTCCCAAGAATGCCCATGCCTGCTTGAAGCAGAATGAGATGCTCAGCACGTTGATCACACGTCCCCCGAGTCAATGACTAGAAGCCAATCCCTGTCCCAGAATGGGTCCATAGCGTCAAAGCATGCCATCATACATCTTAGGTCATTGAGAGTATGCCGGACTGGAGCAGCCCCATGCAAAGCACGCCTAGCTGCAAATTGAAGAGAATGGCAATGACCAAGTTGATGAAGCTCACATTGTAGAGGTACAACACAAAAAGCCTGCCAAAGGCTGAGATGGTCAAGCGCCTTGTTGTTTGCCAGAGAAGAGCTGAATGCATCGTGATGCAGCACTCGCATGACGAGCTTGAGGTGCAGGCAGCTGAATGTTGTACAAGCCACTCCTTGGCGGAGCCCACATGATTCCCCCATGCCTGACGGGGACTGAGTCCGGGTATGCCAGCCATCTTCTGGGTACACAACAACCACCATAGATTACCCAAGGCAAATCCGCATACGGCTGATTTTCCAGGGAATCAAATGAGGCTTGAGAGGAAACTGGCATTCTGTATGTTCAAATGTTGCCTCACTTAGATATCTTAGATCACCGTTGATTCCAAGTCAATTACGGCTTGGCGAATCATGCTTGCAATCGCAAATCGCTGCGGCTTGACAAATCTCCCTGTGCTGCCTTCTGCAAAAGCAGTCGCTCGCGGTTTGGGCACACAATGTTGAATCACAAAGCCAAACAAACGTTACGACTGAAAGCTTGGTTTGCCATGTGTGGGATGTGTGTGATTGTGTATGTGGCTTTCTGTGTATGCGCCTCTGTCTCTCTCTCTCTCTCTCGCCCTCTCTCTTTCTCTGCCTTCTCTCTCTGCCTTCTCTCTCTGTCTTCTCTCTCCCTCTCCGTCTGTCCGTCCGTCTGTCTGTTCGTCTGTCTTAGTATCTGGCTCTGTCTATCTTCTCCTCTGTCCTCTGTCTCCCTCGCTCGCTCGCTCACTCTCTCTCTCTCTCTCTCTCCGTGCCTGCATGTTTGTCTGCGCATGGGTGCTCTCTCAGAGCGGTTTGCCAGAAACCGGCCGAAGGACGCAATAATTGTGCAATCAAAACTCAGATCGGCATCGTCTGCAAAAAGTAGTCGATCCATGTCACTTGGGGTCATCCATCGGGCCTTCGGAGCTGCATTCAGCATGGCAGCAGTAAAGAGACTCTCTCTCTCTCTCTCTCACTGAAAACTGCACAAAGATCAGCAACTCAAGCAATTTACAACCACCGCACCAGCAACATTTGAGATGCGTATTAGACTCTACGTGACCTCTGGAAACCAAATCAACCTCAGACTTTTGCTGCAGCCGCTGCTACTCCAGCAAGTCCGACATATTTGAAAGACCTCAGGTCGAAGTGTAGCCTGGATATGCAACATGGATGTTGCTCTTTCAGACGCTTGAATGGTCTAGGCATGGTTGAAACCTTGGCTTCATACGACGCCGTTCTTCTGACCGGGAAGGAAATCGAGTCTGGGGATGGTGCACGCCATGCACTGCACCCATTGTGGCGATCGACGGCGTCCGTGCAACTGCAAACCAGCTTGGCGTGCTCAAAGCTTTCATGAATATCTGCATGCATGTACATGCGTCCGTATGTGTGCATGTATGCATGTGTTGCATGGTTGCGTGTATGCATGTATGCATGTGTATGCTTGCATGCGTACATGCATGTATGTAGGTATGTAACACACGAGGTACGAGGATAGCAGCAGCAACTTGGTTTCAGTTGTGCTGCGCTCCCGATAACACCAATCAATATTCTGCTCATCCTCAAGCCAATAGCATTTACACAGCTTTACAAGGCTTGCTACCAATGCTTTTCCGGACAATCTCATGCAGTGTATGCATATTGTATGGATTGTCATGTAATGTGAATTGCATTTGTCTCTCTCCAGAGGGCAGCAAATAAAAAGTGCATCAAGATCATGATGGTTGCTTGCAATCCGAAACGACACGACGCAAGACATGTCTTCTTTGCTGACGCACTATTTGCGCCCATATTAGCTTTGCCCTGGCCAAATTGAAAGCAGATATGGCTCAAGATATGGCCAATTTGATCACTGCAGAACTTGAGATCCAACGCTGAAATTGCAAAGCACGAGCTGCGCCTGGGCCAAGCTAGCCAGACGTCGACGATTTGCCGAGAAACTCATCTGGTTTAGGTCAAGCCGTGCATGGAGATTTTATCCATCTGTGCCCTTTGGCCGAGGCTCCCAGCTTGCCAAATGGACTAGAAATCTAGCCAGCTCATATTTTGCTCAAGACCCGTCCTCGGATGTGCACCTGAATTCTACCTAAAACTCACCTTGAGCTGCTTTGGCATCTCGAATGCGTATCCGCAGCGCTTCGACCTCGCTCGCAAATCGGCAGTCAAATGTAGTTTCCAGGTTTGCAGAGCTTAACCCATCTGGGTTTGAATCGAGTGTAGCATTGCCAGGCATTGCCAATACCAGGCAAAGCTCAAACTTTCTCCGGCATGCATACACTGCCAGAGCCCAACTCGCTCGCCTTCGGCCAAAGCTGATTGACGAGCTTGTTGTTTTTGGCCTCGGATATCGATCACTCGTAATTGCAGGTCTGCCAGAGGCGCTGTCCAACCTTCGAGTTTCTCCGACTAGTCACCATCCCACTGTGTTTCCCACTCATGCGTCCGCTCAACATGCAGCGTTCTCTCGGGATGACATACCCGTAATATAACTCTTGGGCATCCGCGGAAGAGCTCAAACTCAGACCCCTGCTGGCACTCCATCTTTCAGAAAGCCACAAGTTTCCAGCGACGCGTCAATCTGTCAGCAGGCAAGTTGGGCGGGATCTGTGTCGTGAATCCACTGTTCCCAAGGCAAAAACAAGTTGAAACAACCGACACGAAAGCTAATGACCCCGTGGCTCTCGCTCGCATGTACGTGCAGTTGCTGCACAAGTTTCTTACATGGGATGAGAACACCTGCGGCTGTCTCCTCAAACGACAGGGAGACTTGCCAGAAAATGCCTCTTGCTCAACCCCCGCATCGCGAAGACCCCATGCAACAGGCCCCAACTGTATCCACAGGGTCACCAACAACAAACCGCGGGACTGTATCTACGAATATCCATGCAACAACTTGTACATTCTGACGCCTCGAGTAAAAAATGAGATTGGCAAACCTGTAGATCTAACAGCGCTCCCCCAGCTCGCGTACCACTTGCCTTGAGACCTAGCTTACGAGGGCCAGCTTTCAAACCCGGAACAGCAAGGTGCGACCAGCCTGGTCTTGCATAAGCACAGCCTTGCACAAGAGGCATTCTGAACAATTTGCAATGTAGGAGAAATGCCAATTTGTGTGGGCATCCTCCTTGTTGTCGTACGTGTTCAACCCGAAGACAACTGCATCCCACATCAAATGCACTGTCGTGCATTGAGTGCAGGACATTGGTGTTGATGCTTGCAAGGCTACTGAGCAGGAGCACCAAATTTGTAGCGCCTGATCGGATGACGCACGGCCAATTGGAATACATTGGAATTACATGGCCTTCAACCATGGCAAACACCCAATGGTTCAACACACTCATCAAGTCTCGGGCATTCTTCGTAGGCCCAGCTCGCTAGTGCAAGCTCTTCCAGAAGCACTGGGATGATGTGTGGTCCCACCTCAGAAATGAACATCTTGTCTGCAGAAGAAAAAGAGCAACTCCAGGTGCAGATGGAAGCATCCTGTAGGGTTTTCGGTGCGCCCTTCAATTTCTCCAGGCAAAAGAATCGTTAGCCATGAAAGCCATGCACGTAACACTCTGTGGCTGCAGCTTTGACTTTGTTCTGCCCAAGCAGGCACAGCCTGCATGAAAGCACATCTGAGCGGTGCCGAAAATACAATAAGGTAATTACAAAAAACCCTCTACTAACAAACCACTTTCGCGGCAAGCTTTCGCGATGCTTTCGCGGCCACACGTTTCACTTTCGCCGGCATGTGTTTTGCAGTGATCACTTTCGCGGAGCTTTCGCGGGCAACACAGAAACGCTTTCGCGGCGGGCTCTTCTTCAACCACTTTCGCAGCAAGCCTTCGCGGGCTTTCGCACCTGCGTGTTAGCTTTCGCCAGGCTTCGTTAGGAGAGGCCCTCAATTAACTCCTTCCATAAGGGTTTTGGCCTTGCAATCATAAACAGACGCGTATCAGTTCGGCAACGACCACTGTCATATGCCATCAACAACTCCTCAGGCTCACAAGTGGCTTCCAGCAACGAGTGCTCAGTTCGCGGCTGCCGAAGCGCAAACAACAGCTTCGACTTCAGCTTGGTGTTTGGCTGGGCAGCATCATTGACCTGAACCGTGTTGTCAAACAAGCCAGTTTCTGACACTGGCGCCAAAACATGTTGCAAACACCGGCTCACACCTGTTCATTGTATCAAGCACAACCCCTTCAATACTCATCCAACTGCACGCATATCACCTGTGTTTCTCAACTCGACCCCAAAACACTGTGGCCCTGACCCAGAGCAGGCAAGCAACAACGGGAAAGCTCTCCGATATGAGGCTACCTTGCAAATCGAGGTCGCAAGCAACCTATTTCAGCACTCAAATGGCCGCTAGAATACAAACATCAGCTAGCACCGCATTCATAGATTGCATGTTGATCAAGTGTTGCTTCCCAAAATGAGCAGCTGACGGGTCTCAGGGTCGTTGCAAAGTTGCCCAAGAACACTTGCGACCTGCTCGTGCTTGGTCAAGCACTCTCACGTGCCCATGAATCTAACAATCTTGTGAACACATGCAAACTCAAGCAAATTACCAACGTGCTAAGCCATCACGTGTGTGCGCTGACATCGCTTACACTCTTTCTTCACTTGGTGTGATGGCTTGCCTCGGCAAGGATGCGTTGCTTGCGCAGGTTCCTGCAACAAAGTGCGACTATGGGCGCAAGTGAGGAAAAAACTAGGGGGATATCAAGGGTATCAACAAGCCATCTATTGACTTCTTGAGGCAAACCTATGCAACACATACGCGCGCACGCGGTCACACACACACACACACACTCACTCACTCACTCACTCACTCGCTCACTCACTTACTTACTTACTCACTTACTCGCTCGCTCACACCCACCCACCCACCCACCCACCCACCCACCCACACACACACACAAGCCCTAGGGACTAAGTTGATCGGCTTCAATGTGGCTTTGATCTGGTGCTCTCGGAGACAGGCTGACGTCTTCAAACACGGCGCTGCGACAAGTGTTGATGCCTGCTCATTTGAGTTGACGACAGTTTTTGGTAAGGAAGTCCCTTTCAGGCGCCCGTGCCAGTCTGTTGGGCGGAATTGCGCCACAATGTCAACAAGAAGCTGCTCGCACCTGGGGATCGTGGAGCAGGTTCGAAAAAAGAGCGTTCTTTGCGCTGGCGAGTGGCACAGGATTCGTTGCGCGCAAGGAAGACGTCTTTGATGTACGTCTATGAAAGCTGATCATCAAAAGATTACAGCGCACAAGCTCGTCTTGACATTGAGCGACGGTCAGAAAAATAACATCAAATCTGGTTTTGACACATGATTGAAGAGCATGGCCTCTGGTACCATAAAAAATGGAACCTGCGTCCTGCGCCGAGGGGTGTTCTTAAATCCTAGCCTCAGTCCTGCAGGAAACGAAGGCTGCAACGGGAAGATACACTGTTCGGCTCTGCCGTGTTTCCGTCGGCGTTGATGAGGGTGTCGGATTCAGGCGACGGGATGCCGGCAAGGCAGGTGGAAACAATTGATGTAGCACAGCAGAGTTGAGGCGGCGCGCAGCCCAAAACGCGGTTGGCCACATCGGGCGTCTGGACTGGCGGCTGAATTGCGCATAGCGGTGATCCGAATTGGTTCAACCGGAACACCTGCAAGATAGAATTTTCCAGTCACAGTGCCGTCTGCAGCACTCCCAGACTCTTTTTCCCCCGAGAACGCGCAAGTGGCTAAAATCCAAAACTAGGACGGGCAGGGCTGCGAACACAGCCTCCTGGCTGTGTCAGCTTCCAGCCGGCCCCAATCGGATTAAGGGTATGTGCATACCCCACATTCCGCGTGAGTCGTGTTAAACTGAAGAACCCCGGGCTTGCGAAAATCGCGTTAAAAGAAAACCAGTCTTGGTGGTTCCAGTGGAAGTAACCCCGGAAACCACAACCTAGTAAGGAAGACCAGCCCAGGCTTCCTGGGGTGGCGGAGAAAACCTTCCAGGCTCGTTAGGCCAGTGGCGTCCGGGCTGAAAATACCTCCCAGGCGACGGCAGTGATGCCAGCCAGCCCAGGAGGGAGGGTGTGACTGCCCTCTTTTGCTCTTGCGCTGAGAGCTCCATCAGAAGGGCGGAGCAGGGCCACTTCTTGGAGCGATCCCAGGAGCTCCAAGGCAGTGATGCGTCGAGCTGGTCGAGTGTGCTCCAGAAAGGGGGCCAGCCAGGGCACTTCCGCCACAGCGAAGGCAAACCACCAAACATGGCTCTTGTCTGGGAGTCCGCAAGCCATCCTCCAACCGTTGCCCTGCCAGGAGATTCTCCCGCATCACTGCGTCCATGGCAGCCGGTCCAAAAAGGAAGTGTGGGAGGAAAGCGGCCAAGCTGCCCCGGCTTGCATTTCCTCATCAACTTCTGTTCCCACGCATAAAGTGGTTGCAGATGAGGCGACAAGGTGGGGAAGGCCTTGGCCACCCACTGCAAGAGGCCCAGGAGAGAAGTTACCTGTGGCTTCGTGTGGAGTTGAGCAGGATAGGCTTTAGCCGTGCCCTTGTTGATGTCCACCTGGTACCCAGCCACAGATTTTGGGAGCGCAGGGCATTTTTGTGCCAGGAGGTGGGACATCCAACCAGGGAAAGGAAAAGGAGGAAGATGCCCGCCGTTGCCAGCCTGAGCATGAAGTCATCCACAAACACCATGCTTGACAAGAACTCCTCAGAGATGTGTTAAGCAAGCCGTGTCAATAAGGCTGCAGCTCTAACCCAGAAAAGGTTCTTGATCGTAGCGACCATGTGTTTCCAATCTCTGAACCGCCAATTTCCTTTGCTGACATCCGACTTGAAAAGAGTGAGGTCCTCCTCCCTGAGTTGTAGCGTGGGGGAGGGCCCTCCTGCAGAGGGCTGCCGCATCGAAGCAAGAGGGGCCGGAGAGAAGGATGCTGTCCCCGAGCCATCCATGGACTCGCACATCATCAGGAAGCAGGCGCTCCACCGTGTCGAGGTCTGCCGGCTGCCCGCTTGCCTGCCTGGCCCAGCGTCAGTTCGGGATGCCTCCGACCCACGATAGCTTTCTTCCACTCGGAAGGGGCGTGTGACACCATATGTTTCCGGGTGGCCGCAAACTCGTGTTTGAGGGCCTGCAACTTGGGCGGGATCATCGTCAGCCTGTTCACCTTGAGCCAGTCACCGAGGCTGTTGCCGTACCTTCAGGGGGTCGCCCGCAAACCAAAAGAAAGAGGCAAAAGTAAAGTTATTTGGAATCCCGGGGCACGCCAGCAGGTTGCAAGCGCTCTTGATGGCAGCCGCGGGCAGGTCGGGGCAGGCCGTGCGCCTGAACTCGTAGATGGCTTCCGTGCTGCCAAAGGCGTGCTGCAGCACCTGGTGGGGTAGCCCGTGCCTGCGGGCGTACTTCAGGAATTGCTGTCCATGCAAGGCCGGGAAGTCCAGCTCAATCAGCTCGGTGCCAACGAAGAAGGCGTGCCTGGCGATGTTCGGGTGCGCATACAGAGGCCAGCACAGTCCCTGGCCGCCGGACCGCCAGCGGCGCACGCGTGGAACTCCTCCGGATCCCCGTCGCAGTTGTCTTCTTGTTGATGTTGGAACGGATGTTATCATTCCCCCCAACGATGGTCGTGTCGAAGATTGCGCGGACCTTGTCTGCCTCCTGGATGGCCGCCATGGCTCCCACACAAAGGTGTGCGCAGACCTTGGTGGCCTCGTCTTTGGAGAAGGGTCCAAGTACCGTGCCCATCTTATGTTCCTCCTGGAAGGCGCACTCAATCTCATCCTCGAACTTCTCCGCGCTTGAGCAGCTCTTGGCAGTGGTCGCCAAAGGTTCCAGCTCCTCTATCGCTCTGTTTTCGGAGTCTGGGGAACCAAGGACAGGTGTGGACCCTGGGCGCCCGGTTGGCTTCAGCACGTGAGGTTGGAGCTTTCGGAACAATTAGGTGCGCGGGCGCCTATGCCACGAAGAATCCAGGCTCGAGCGAGGAGCGTTGAGCAGAGCTGCGGGAAACTGGGGCAAGCTGACGTGCACGCCACGCGCTGGGCGCCAGCCAAGGAGTAGTCTGTGTCTCACCGAATTTGGCTCGCAAAGGGATCTGTGGCGCCGCATCCAGGAGAGGTTCCGCGCCCTCGAACTTCCTGCAGATGAGCATCCTGCCCTTGATCCAGCGATCCCGTGCGTCCGTTGGTGGGTGGGTGCGTCAAACATCTCCAGCAGCCATCCATGTGGCTGCAACCACTTGCCCTGCTGGTCCGCCAGGGCATCACACCCCCATTCCGTCCGAGACAAGGTGCGTGCGTACCTGTTCTTGGCCCGTTTTCCGGCGGTGCTGCGGGTGTAATCAAAGCCCGACAAGGCCGGGAGCGCCATGCCACACTCCACATGGACCGAGCGGGCTTGTTCCGCCTGCACCCAAGCGCCACCTGTGCGACGGTAGCCTTGAAGGCCATGCGCCGCACAAGGTTGGCATCATAGCCCCTCACCCATGCTTTGTCCGCTCCGCCTTCTCGCGCCCTTCCTTTTGGCCGCAATAAGGGAAAGCCCAGCTCTTTCTTCCCAGCTCTTTCTTCCGAGTCCTTCTTGTAACCCACCAGGTTCCAGATGTCCTTGACGCTGAGTGAGGGAGGAACCATAGAAGTTTATGAGTTCGCGGCACGTGCAGGTCTGGAGGTTCAACCTCCAATACTGGAAAGGCGCCGAGCAGCCGTTCCTTGATGTTCTCAAGGATCTGCAGCTCTGCGGGCTCATCCCCCGGTCCACAAACACTGTGTTCGCATGCCTTAGCCTCAACTGCAGCCACGAGGTGGGTCCAGCTTTTGAAGAGGTTGTCCGCCTCCTCATATGATTCCCGAGTACCTCACCCACTTCCAACCCGTGAAGCACTCCTTGTCCTTGGTCATCATGAGGATGGCATCGAGGTAGCGGATCTTGTCGTCCAAGCGGCTGCTTCTGCGCCAGCGTTGGAAACTCCGACTGCGTGAGGTTCGGGTGGTACATGGAGGCAATGCGGCAGGCCGCCTCGTCGTAGACGAGCTGAGCTCGTGGACCAGGATCACTTTCCTACAGCTTCTTGACTGCCGCCGGCTTCTGTACGTGGGCCCATTCGTACCTGCCGCGTGGACCTCCACAAAGGCTTGGACACAGTCTCGCTGGTTGTTGGATAGGTGTCCACACCAGATACCGCTCCAATCCCTAGACGTTATTCACATCTGCCAGCTTTTGCCATCAGGGCTGGAAAACTTGGGAGGCTGGAGAGGGCCAGGACCGTAGCAAACATTTGACCCTGTGGATCGTGGCGTTCCGCAGATTCTTCTGCAGAGGGCGCCATCTTCAGGGTCTTACGTTTCGTGATGAGGCCCATGAGGGCCGCATCAGGATCAGCCCTGACCAGCACATCCGCCCCGCCAGTTGGAACGGAAGTACACCGGGTGGTACCATTTGTGAGCCACCTCCACTGAAAGCTGCAAGTCAGGGTGTTGATGGGATCCTCTTCTAGACCGTACCAGCAAACCACCGCCGGCCACCAGGCGTGCGTCTGAAAAAAAGGTCCATGACGCCCGCCTCACCACTGTCCAGTTTATCCTCCAACTCCTTGAAGACCTCGGTGGGGGCCGCATGTGTCTACGTAGAAGTCTCCGACTCAGCGCTAGACGCAGCCGTCCTAGCCCCAAGTTCTCCTTGGGTCACTTTCCACCGGAAGCTCGCAGCCATCCCACCACCGAGGTCCCCTAGTTCTGCGGCCGTCATCTCCGCATCAACTTCCATGGCCGCAGGGCCAGGCTCAGGTGTTGCGCGCTTGGCCAGCTGCGGCTTTGCCGCTTCACGGGCTGCCTCAAGATGAGCATCCTGCCTAGCACCAGCAACCACGTCCATGGCCCGTAAAGATCCGAGATTTGATCCAGGGGTCAAGTCAGGGGCTTGAGCCAAAATGGCCTCGCGCGCAAACCTCCGCAAAGTCCGAGTATAAGTGGTGGAAGCAGGAGTTAACAGCACTTGGCACTATGACATCCGAGTTTTCTCAAAACAAGTTTGGACAACGTAAGAAGTCGAGAGTAGAGCTGCATCGCTGCGAAGTCGCAGGGGAATCACGTCTACGTTACGGATGTAAAGATCCAGAGGCAAGCAGCAATCAATTTCACGTCCAACATGCAGATAGGCACAAGTCAATCCCGCTCACATCCATCAAACGCACGAGGCGAATCGAAGCGATGACCGAGGCAAAGTTAAAGAAGACAGACAGGTCCGTGATTAGTATACCCAGCTGTGGCTAGACAAAGTGCCTAAACTGCATTGACTCGAGTCTGCGAACCAGTCGCAGGCACACACTTCAAGCACTAAGCAGCTGAGCTGACGAATCCTAGAATATGGCTGGGCGCATTCAGAACTCGGACAGACTGATGTGTTCAGAAAAGCCTCACTTGGCTTCCCCTCCGGGCGAACGAGACAACAGCAAACATAAGTTGTTTAACCATGTCGGTATGCAGAGCTGCTCAAACTCTGATTCCCCTCCCGTAATGCAGCTTCGCTGGGCACGGTTCATCAGTGGAGGCCTTGTCTGGTTAGTTCCGGGATAGATCCGGTAGACACACACAGAACACACACACAACACAGAGAACACACACAGAGAACACACACAGAGACCACACACAGAGAACCCACACGCGCACACACACACACACGCACGCTCGCTCGCTCGCTCGCTCGTGCGTGCACAAATTTGTCAGCACAGCTCATGCCAAGCTTGCCAACTCTGGGCGATACTGATAAGTGCGGTCAAGAAGCTGGTATGATGATGTCAAAATGTCCACCAAAAGTGGCACGCCGCCCTGGTCAGGTTGCTTCGCTTCGCGCAACATGTGGGATCAACGTGCGTCTCGAAATTACCAACAACGATAGTGCTTACTGCGAATTCGAGGTTGGCCTCCTTCACCACGATAAATCCTAAGCCGTTGGCGTAAAAGTTGCAGCAAATCTGCATGAAGAACTCATGCAAATCACAAGCTTGCCCCCGCACAGCTACAGGACCAAACAGCGATTACCGCAACTCCAACATGTGCACTTCAACAAAACTGCAAACAATTAAACACGGAAGCTGTGACATTCCTGCTCCGCGCTGCAAATGCTGGCATTACGTCATTACGTGCACGCAAGCATCGATGGTGAGGGGTCTTTGTGAGGTTGACCAGCAGAAATAGCCTCAAGTCGCTTCATACACAAGAAACAGCGCCTAGCAATGCTGATGCCTAAAAGCTGCACAAGTCTATCGGCTGCGACAACGTCACATGCAATGAGCTCCTGACGTGTACAAAGTAAGCTCATCATGCTTGATCTTCAGCTGCTTCACACCTGGCGAGAACAGCTGCAACAATGCAGCCCTTGCACGTCGCACTTCAGCACAAGCTGACTCATTTCAAGCATGTGGCACTGGTCTGCTGACAAGCTGCACCAACTAAGGACTCCGTGAGATACGAGGAGTTGCCTCGCGGCATGATCATTGGACACGTCTTGCATGAGCTTCTGAGCTTAGGACTTCATATTTGCTCGGCCACAGGACAAATTGACCAGAGATGCCTTCAAGCAAAGCTGGCTACGAAGCCGGCATATGATTTCAGGTGTCAAGTCATCATATTGCTGTGTAATGTACTGACAACAAGCTGAATAAGTGTGGTGGCTGGTGCCAGCTGTGACAGCTGGCAAGAAGCTCTGGCTGCTCTGACACCATCCCATGCGTTACATAAGCGACACTGACAACTTGGTGAGAAGATTGAGAAACATGATGGCTCTCTGAAGCGGCTCAGCGGACCCTATTGCCGAGCACAATCAGGCGAAGGCCCTTCGTTGTCCGATTCTGTGACTGCATGTGTTCTGTTTGGCAGCTACGCCTGTCAGCGGTGCCACTGCCATTCTCTGCCTTCTGACCATCCTTGAGCCTGCTGTTATCGCTTGCAACCCTTCCCGTTTAGCATTTCTCTTTTGATGTCAGCTTCAAGCTACCGACCCCGCTGCTGCCACTTTGATCAAGACATGATTGAGACTCTCTCACGGACATGCCACTGCTGCCCATTCCCAATCTGAGCTGATGGCAGTTGCATAAGACATGAGAATGTGGTTTGCACCGTTCATCACCTGCAACATTGTCAAGCTGCCCGACTGTTGGAGTGAGAATCGAGGCAGCACAAAGAAGCCCTCAGAGTACTCCTTCTCTCTCAACAATCAGAAATATAGTGTAGGCAATGGCCACAAATAAGCTTTGTTGCTTGTGGCCTTCACCAAAGCAGGGACCAATTGCTTCACCTTGGCCAATGACCCAGTCACAAAGAAAGCATGCTCGATGTGGCAATGAGGTTGCAGCCTGAGATTGACAAGAATGTTGGTACGCCGGGTGTTGCTGAGCGAGGAGCTGCTTTCTCAAACTTTGCCTCTTCATCCTCGTGAATCTGACTCCCCACCCTTGGTGTACATCGCAAATCGGAACAACATGAGCACCACTGGAAAGTGATCTGAGGCCGTCACATGTCCAGAATATGCCGGCAAACCATGGTTCCTGGCCGATTATATAAAGGCAATATATTAATATATTATGCAAAATATCATTGCGGAAACTGCTGATCTGTGTTTTTGAGGACTGCAGCCGCCTGGCTAATTGTTTAACACGGCACGGGCAAAGCAGGCCGGGGATGCGTAAGCCCAGGCCCACAGTCTCATTTGTGAGCAGTTGCGCCTGAAAAAATCATGGCGAGTCCAAAAAACCCTTCCGGGAATTCATATGTTCATCAACTAACCTTTACATAAGGCACACTTCAGCAAGCTCAGCTGGAACATCGCAACTTGCTCAGCCCAAATGAAATGCACAAGTCTAAGTGGCTCATGTTTTCAGCAATTCCAGGCCGCACTCAATCATGTTACTCATGCCAAATGAGCGAGTGCCCAGCCAGCATCTCTGCGTAGTCAGCGCCAGCACCAGGTGGCCGCTTCTTCCTCGCTTCAAAACTCCAGGGAACAACAAGAATGACAAGAGGACAAAGAGGACAAAGAGGACAAAGAGGACAAAGAGGACAAAAGCAGGCTTGACGCAAGCATCGGCAATCCAAGTTCTTCGCAGTTCGTTCTCAACATAGCCCTCGGAAAGGAGGTGGCGCATGATCACATCCTCGGAGCAAACGAAAGACACAGCTCTGCAAACAGCTGAGCTTATCCTGCTCACACCGAAAATGACATTCATTAAGTGTCAATGTGGCTGGACGAATTGACTGACAATAGGCTCGCAGCATTGAACGAGAATTGGCTGAAGTTTTCGGGATCCTCAGGCTAGCATGACAAGTGTCTCAGCGCCTTCATCAAGCTTGCAAACTGCGCTAATACTGGCAGGACTCCTTGGAGAGAGCAACCAGGCTCATGCTCTTCTCCTTTTCAAGGAAGAAGTTGACTTTCCAGTCCTCAGGTGTTCTGCATGCAGTGGCTCTCAGAGGCAATGTCAGTCGCAATCAAACTTCTGAGACACAAGCGTCACGGGGCTTGACGTGCAGCAGGAAGTCAATGACAGCCTGGTCGAACGATGCTCAAGCTCACGTGAAGAAAGATGTCGAGCTTTTTTCCGTTCGACGAGCATTACACTCACCGCCTTCATGCTGGTGTCCACATCGGAGGACACTCGCCCAAGAGATTGAATCTGAGGGTGTTGAGATCACGCAATCGACTGATCTGGACTTGGTCACTGAGCCACGCACCAGAAGCGGGAAAGTAAACCGTTCCCCCAAGATCCCGCCATCCACGCAAAAGGCAAAGTACCGGGCGATGCGCACAGCCCAGGCATTGCGCCGCTGGCAAATGGCAAGAGTCGAGCAAAGGCCAAGAGCCAAAAAGATAGAGACTCCCATCGCCTAAAAAACAGTTGCAAAAACTGCACCTCATCTGAGTCTATTGCTGCGCTCCAATTCATTTGTTGCTCAAGCTTTAGAGTCTGGTTGCAGGCCTCCAGCCTGTCGCTGCTTGTCTGAAGAAGTGATTCAGCCTCCGATATAAGCTCCTCGACTGGTTCTCAGCGCAACAGGGCGCTGGTGAGACATGTTTCACAAATATCAGCAACTTGCTGCGTTCAGTCCTGCGGAACTTGAAGCGGGTCGGACATCTCTGCGATGTCTTTAAAGACCTGCCCAGGGTTTATGGTTTGGACATACTCTGCAATACATGTACAAGGTCAACCCACATCTGCCACCACGTACACGCTTTGTATCGCCCTTGCCTCTGCATGCTCAATGGACTCGTCCCAAAGAGCACTCTCGTTCACCAGTATCTTAACCTTTGCCGCCAAAATGTCTCAAAGTCTGTCCAAGCCAACGGATGATCTAGAGGCCACGTTGCTGTTCACATCTCAGGGTCCGGCTAGTGACTTCACAAACCTACAAGCTACTCGACGATGGACGGGCACCATGCCAAGCTGCCCCTGGCCACAGCTGAAAACTACTGGCGCATCCAAATCTGCGGCAATTTGCATCCCCAAAACTATTGGCCCGCTAACCTCAGCTTGAGCTGACGAAGCCAAGAGGTCAACCAGTTTATCACAAACAAACTGGTGTGAATTATATCCGGTCACGTTTCTACATTTTTTGCAGCGCTGCCGATGCCTCTGCCCAACGGTACCCATCCTCTGTGAAGTGAAGAGTGTCGAGGCGAGCCTGGAACTGCTAAGAGCTGGCTCTCTAGCCTCAAAATCTGTTCGACAAGACCAGGCCTGTACCGGCCGCTTGTAGATGCCCACCTTGTTTACGAGCGAATTGGTGAGAGCTACGCAAGCTAATGGTGAACGCAAATGAGAATATGCGCTGGTGTTCTTGCTGTTGTTGTTGCTGTTGTTGCTCTTGTTGTTGTCACTGGTGTCGTTGTTACTGTTGTCGTTGTTGTCGTCGTCATCGTTGTTGTTATTATTATTCTTGTTCCTGTTCTTGTTCTTGGTCTTGGTGACACGTCCTCGTGGGATCCCCAGGCTTGATGTTGTTTTTACTGTCGGGGGTGGGGGGGGATGAATCCTTATCCGTCGCCCTTGCCCTGTCTTACGATTCTTCTTCATCGTCTAGTCGGTCCTGGCCCTCCACCCAGCTGTCCTTTACTTCGTGTCCTGTGGACTGCTGATCCATGGTATCTTGACGCCCGCATGACCCTGTCACTGCCGTCGCGCGTGCCACCGCTTCAATATCTGATAGGGGCCCCATCAACTTTGACGGGGTGGCTGCAAAGCTTCCTGGACTGTCCAGAATTTTCTTCCCGTGCAAATGTGCTGCGCTTGTCACTCCTTTACGACGAGGCGCGGGAGCTGGGAATTGGGATCCTGCAAAGACGTGTTCCCTTGTTCTTGCCCTTGTTCTTCTTCTTGTTCTTGCTGTTGCTGTTGTTGCTGTTGTTGCTGTCGTTGCTCTTGCTGTTGTGCTGCTGCTGCTGCTGCTGTTGCTGTTGCTGTTGCTGTTGCTGGTTGCCGTTGTTATTGTTGTTGTTGTTGTTGTTGTTGTTGTTGTTGTTGCTGCTGTTCTTCTTCTTCTGCTTCTTATTTTTTGGTTCTTCTTATCCTTCTTCTTTGTCTTCTTTTTGTGTTTTCTTGCTCTTGCTACTGTTACTGTTCTTTTTGTTATTGTTCTTCTTCGTCTTCTTCTTGTTCTTCTTCTTCTTCTTGTTGTTGTGGTTGTTGTGTCGTTGTTGTTGTTCTTGTTCTTGCTCTTGGTCTTGTTGTTGTTGTGGTTGTTGTTGTGGGTGTTGCTGTTGCTGTTGTTGTTGGTATTGTTATTATTCTTATTTGGTCTTGCTCTTCTTCTTGCTTTTGCTATTGTTTTTGTTCTTGTCATTTTGCACTTCGTGTTCTTGTTGTTCGTGCGCCTGTTGTTGGTCTTGTCGCTCCTTTCTTTTTCACCTTCTTGTTGTTCTCCTTCTTGCTCTGCTTCTTGTTGCCCTTTCCTTTGGTTCTTGTTGTTCCTCTTGTTCGTGCTCTTGTTCGTTTGATTGCTACCGCGCTTGTTGTGGTTGTGGTTGTGGTTGCGCTTGCTGTTGGTGTTGTTGCTGTTGCTGCTGCTGTTGTTGTTCTTATTCCTGTTTTGTTCTTCTTGTTCCTGTTATTCTTCTTGCGCTTACTGTTCAGCTTGTTTTTGTTGTTCCTCTTGTT